GAGATAAGCAATTTGATTGGTTGATCCTTTGGGACACAATAACTTTAGTTCTAATTAAGTGTGAGTGATGAAATTTAGTGTATAGTTTCATTACATCAATACCTTGACTAAGTTCGATAATGAGCATTTTCTGCTCAGGGTAAGCAGAGCGATAAGCAACTTGATTGGCCGAGACTTTGGAACACAATAACTCACCTTCTAATTGAGCTAGAATGTTCAAACTTGGTGTAGGTGTTTATTAGGTCAATGTCTTGATGGAGTTTGAAGATAAACATTTTCTGCTTAGGGTAAGCAGAGATAAGCAATTTGATTGGTCGAGACTTTGGAACACAATAACTCTCATTCTAATTGAGTTAGAATGTTCACACTTGGCGTAGGTGTCAATTAGGTGAATGCCTCGATGGAGTTTAAAGATGGGAATTTTCTGCTTAGGGTAAGCAGAGATAAGCAGTTTGATGCTTTGGGACATGATAACTTCAGTTCTAATTAAGTGAAAGTGAGGACACTTGGTGTATAGCTTTATTATATCAATACCTTGACCAAGTTCGATAATGAACATTTTTGCTGAGGGTAAGCAGAGTGATAAGCAATTTGATTCGTCGAAACTTTGGAACACAATAACTCTCCTTCTAATTGAGGTAGAATGTTCAAACTTTGTGTAGGTGTCTATTAGGTGAATGTTTAAACTTGATGTAGATGTTCATTACGAGAATGTCTTGACTGAGTTCAATGATTAACATTTTGAGCTGAAGCTAAGCAGAGCTAATCGATTTCATTTGTCGATGGTTTGGGACAAGATAATCTTGATTCTATCTGATAGAGAGTGATGAAACGTAATGAAAAAAATAAATGTGCGATTAATTAATATGTGTCATCTATTTATTTTGCAATTTTGGAGGGGGACATCAGCCTCACTGTTGGCTTGTTAAAACTAAAGTTATCGTGCCCCAAAGCATCAACCAATCAGATTGTTTATCTCTGTTTTCCGTAAGCAGCAAATGTTCATCATAGAACTCCATCAAAGCATTCGCCTACACAAAATTTGAACATTCTAGCTCAATTAGAAGGAGAGTTATTGTGTTCCAAATTCTCGACCAATCAGATTGCTTATCGCTCTGCTTACCCTCGGCAAAAAATGTTCATCATCGAAATTAGTCAAGGTATTGATGTAATAAAGCTATACACCAAGTCATCGTGTCCCAAAGCATCAACCAATCAAATTGCTTATCTCTGCTTACCCTAGGCAGAAAATGCCCATCCTCGAACTCCATCAAGGCATTGACCTAATAAACGCATACACCAAGTTTGAACATTCTAGCTCAACTAGAAGAAAAGTTATTGTGTTCCAAAGTCTCGGCCAATCAAATTGATTATCGCTCTGCTTACCCCGAGCAGAAAACGCTCATTATCGAACTTAGTCAATGTATTGATGTAATGAAACTATACACCAAGTGTTCGATACGATGCCAGAGGAATGACGAAACGATGTATATATAATTTTAATGAATCTTCACATCTTGTACTATTAATGATGGATACAAACGATGTCGATCAAAACAACGATGTAAGGCAAACAATCATTTTCCCCCGAACTCTCCACGACCTCTAGCGAACACTAAAGGAACTAAAAGCTATTAAGAGTTACCACCAATTAACTACTTTGGAAAATATATAATTAATTACTATGACTATCTCACTATCTCTTTTGAAAATATCCCCCTCCTTGATGTTTTTCCCAGTAATCATCAACAAAATAATCTACAATAGAAAGTGATCTACAATACACTGACACTAGAAACTATGACAATGATCTACACTAAAGAGCATTTTGAAACTATTTACGATTTATAACTACCGGTATATGAAACGAATATCTATAATAACTAGCAATGTCTTTTTATCAAACTGTCTCTATTTCCGATAACGATGCGATTTCGAAGTCTATTTAACGAGACGATTAACTATTATTCGATGTCTACACAACTAGTATACGATGTCTATGCCTCTTAATGACACCTTTTAACTACCGACTGACCTACTTGAATCTGAACGACTCGAACATGACCATGTTCTGCGCATGTCTCGTTTATGTGAAAAACAAAACATTTTGCGCATGTCTGTTGGAGGAAACTAACACGTGCCATTTTGACCCTTTCTAATTTCTGGTCGCTTTAACTTTTATCTAGGCCTAGATTCAAGCCATTTTTTGGTTGTGACGAAGATTTCTAAACTTCTTGGGCCTGTTCTGTTGCACCCGCCTTAATTTTAACCTGAACTGTGAAGCCGAAGGGTGAGATTTTACTTTCTTTACGGTTCCAAACATGCAGATTTTTCCTCCATCTCACTCTATTTTGGACTTTTTACTTCATTCCATTTCTTCTTCTTCTTCTTCCATTTAATTGACCAACTTCAACACGTTGAAGGTACTGTCAATGGGGTGCACAAGAGTGTTAGGAGGACAGTGAAGGTTAAAAATAATAAAAGATAAAGATAAATACATAATTAATTAAATAAATAAATAAAATATTGCTTAACATTTTTAAAATTTTAGATAGTGGATTGGGCCAGTTGAGTTTTGAATGACTTAAGAGACCCAGCAGTAGCTATATCTGGCGGTAGGCTGTTCCAATCTCGCACAGTTCTGGGAAAGAATGACCACTTCCTGTAATCAGAGCAGGCCGAGATGGTTTGAAAGGACTTAGGGTGCATGTTTATAGAGAGACGACGGGGAGGAATTAGTCTTTGATTGTTAATGGCTACCAGCTGCCTGTCAATCTTATACATCATGATCAGTCTCGCTTCCCTACGTCTTTCCTCAAGGCTCTTCCAGTCCAAGGTCATAAGCATTTCTCCAACACTTGACCTGTTCCTGTATCGATTTGTTACAAAGCGAGCAGACCGTCTTTGTACCATTTCAAGTCTTTTAATGTCATTTTTGTCATGGGGGTCCCAGACGGTACTAGCATATTCAACAGTTGGTCGTACGTAGGTCTGGTATGCTTCGGTTTTTACCTTTACAGATCCAATATTAAGATTCCTTCTGAGAAATTCTAATGTCGAGCTTGCCTTATTGGTTATGGTGTTGATGTGCTGCCCAAAATCCATTTCAGAGTTAAACGTGACTCCAAGATATTTAGCGGAAGTCACATGCTGGAGGACCTGGTTGTGGACTGTTCTTTTTACTTCATTCCATTTCTTTGAGTCTTGTTCTTTTCCATCGGGTGTTCGATCCCTGCATTGGCCGAGAAAGTTTGGGCCTGTTCTGTTGCACCCGTTTCAATATTGTTCTTTTTTATTGAATCCTCGGAAGCGAACCTGCCGATTTTTTTTTAGATTCTGCCTCAATCTTAACTTGAACTGTGTGAAGCCGAAGGGCCTAGTGAGATTTTACTTTCATTTACGGTTTCCAAAAATGCAGATTTTTTCCTCCATCTCACTCTATTTTCGACTGTTCTTTTGTAAATTGTAAATACCTCTTTTTGGCTCCACTTTAAAGTTGTTATCGGACCGGGACTGTGTGCTTAGCCATTTAAAATTCTTCATTACTTTCTTCTACTGTTTCCAAAAATGCATATTTTTTTTTGCGATTCCGACTCAATTTTAACCTGAACTATGTGAAGGGGTTCTTTATCTGGCTAAGTAGTCAGATTTTACTTTCTTTTACTGTTTCAAAAAATGCATATTTTTTTTCCGATTCCGGCTCAATTTTAACCTGAACTATGTATGTGAAGGGGTTCTTTATCTGGCTAAGAAGTCAGATTTTACTTTCTTTTACTGTTTTAAAAAATTTGGTATCCAATCCATGATGGTAGCGCCTGAGACCACAGAAAATTGTGCTTTCCCTTCATTTTTGGTACATATTCCGGATATGAGCTAGAAAATCACTTCATACAATTGAAAGAGTGTACTAAAAACATTATGGTCCACTCTTTAGCACATGACATCGCAATAAGTGATGTGAGAACCGAATGGGTGCTGATTTCTTGACGAAGTGGACATTTTGATCTTAACCCTTTCCCTTGCAACATATTTCATACCTGATACCTAACAACTGGGTGTAACACACCCGTCCATATACTAATTATATAGGAATAGTATTTTATACCCGATCCCTGACAAAACAGCCGATTTGATGATTTACCGGGAACTTATTTTTAGTGCACAATGTGAGTGATTTGGCTAAATACATGAAATTTCTGAAGAAATGCAAGTTTGAGTCGCCATCTTGGAGCTTTGTTAACCCTATCTCTGACAACTGGGTGTAATCCACCCGGGAGCTCCGTATTTTTGTAATTACTCACTTTTCGTTTTTTGGATTTGAACGAAACTCTATCTAATCTTTTGTCTGAAATAAAATTGCCTCTAGTATCTGTTTGTAAAAAAAGGATTTACTTACTACTTTTGTTCAATGTAATATCTATTAAAATATAGACGGGTGTGATACACCCAGTTGTCAGAGACTGTAGAAAAAAAATTGAACCCCCGCAGATTCCACCAAAATACAAATACGATAAATTGAACCAATCCGGCAATGCACAACAACTATCTTGAAAATTAGATAGAGTTTCGTTCAAATCCAAAAAACGAAAAGCGAGTAATTACAAAAATACGGAGCTCCCGGGTGGATTACACCCAGTTGTCAGGGAAAGAGTTAATGTGCTGCCCATTGCTACCGCCTGGATCTGAACCGGAATATTCCAAAAGGATGTAAACATTCACTGCATGGTACCACACCTAAGGGGAATCCATATAAAGACCGTGCTGTGTCACTTAGAATCAGCTTGTTCCTATTGTATCGGGTAAGTGAAATAAAATACTATTGAAAAAAAGAAGGAATAAATTGTGTCTTTGAAATATCGATGAAAACTTTAATGTGTGCTCGACCACAACCAATTATAACTGTAATACCTTTTCTTTGGCAGCATAAAAAAGTATTGTTAGTTTTAGAATTTGTTTATTTTATTCTAGGTACATGCCGGAAATGTTATGCTACCCATAATGAGGAAATGGAACGTCAAAAAGAACCAGGTTAGTTCTTCAAAATAATATGGCATAGGGTCCAAAATTCAACTTCATCATATGATCATTTTCAGAGCCCAAAATGGATTTTGTCTATTTGGGATTACGGCAGGCACATTAGCCTAACTGTGCGCGGACAATTTGCTCATTGTTTATCAAGAGATAAAAAAAAATACCAGGGATTAGGGGCCTATATATTCTATTATTGAGAGATTGCTTAGAGATTTTTTTTATTGTCATGGTTACCATGCAAAATCCAATATGGTCACCAAAAAGGCCATTTTATGTAATTTCAATGACAAATGAACCAAAAATTGGAATAATCAGATTAACCCAGGCCCAGGGCCATTTCTTGCGTGAGCCAACGTCACACCCCTAGACCCCAAAATAAACAAACCAAATATTTTTTTTTATCATGTATTTATTAGGATATTTAAGGTTTTACAGAAAAATACAAGAATTTATTTGGCAAATATTTACAATCAAGTCAGCTATATCTCTCTGTACATTATTCACAAAGCTACAGTAAATTAGTGGTTAGGAATTCAGCAAGAACCATAAAGACCATAATCACAAAAGCGGCAGTAGTTGTCATAAACTGGACCGCCAGCAGTAATGTGGTTGTGGCCTTTACGTTCATAAACCCAAACACTGCCACTTGAACGTAAAGACCATACTGGAATACACTCCAAGATCCTGAGAGTAAAAATTCGACTTATTCATTGAAATTCTGAGGAGTCAAGGAAGTGCATTTCAGTATAAATCCTGAAATAAAAAAGTAAAATGTAAAATGTTTAATAATTTTCCTTTTCTCAGTGCTGAAACATTAAAAGTTAATAAACAGGAAACTAAGCTAATAAAAAAATATATGCTGAAACATAAAAAGTTATAAACCCTGAAAAAGAAAAGAAACAGGAAACTAAGCTAAAAAATTTATATGCTGAAACATAAAAAGTTATAAACACTGAAAAAGAAATGAAACAGGAAACTAAGCTAAAAAAAAACCCTATGATTCAGAAGTATATGCTGATCAAAAGTGTTTTTACTGGCAAATCTTACGCATGCTCCACTGGCCTGAAAACAAAGGTAACAAACAAATGGTTCATGTACAGATTTAATATGGTGATTTAACATGGACAATGTGGAACATCTAAAAACTGGTTTTATGTTGTTATCTAAGCAAATTCCACACATTACGTTTTTTTGAATTTCCTTCTTTTTTAAAATACGTGGAATTCCGTTGTCATGTCTTTCGTTATTATTAGAATTGATGTTTTTTATTGAAATTTTAGTTTCGTCAATACAGTCGTCGATAACATCGTCATTGTTACAATTGTCTTCTAAAGTAGAAAGAGTGACATGTTTTCCCAACTGTAAGTAGGCTTCTTCAACAATTTTATTTAATTTCCGACCTCTATTCCTAGATTTTATTCGTTTCCTCCCACCATGGCGCTCATGTGCATTTTCAGGAAATTTTACCTGTGGACGGTATGGATCATTTTGAATTTCTTCAGGCTCAATTAAAGAATAACGATCTGGGTTAATTGGTCCATCCTTGCGTCGGTTTCCCATGTTATGTGGCTGTTTCTGAGTCAGTGGGCCACTATAATTTGTACATTTAATTTTTGAATTATGTAAAATGTTTAATAATTTTCCTTTTCTCAGTTTTTCAGTGTCCAATATAGTTACAGGATGGACCATGTCTTCTAATAAATTAACGTGATCTAAGACTGGAGGCCTTGGCTGTATAACTTTTCCAACTCCCAATGTGTCTAAATAAGAAGGTATTGTGGGAACAGTGTTCAGATATAATCCTAATAATTTGTCCGGATCGTTCACACCATAATGGAAAGAGAGACATGCATAAAGATGCTTGCAGAAATATGGCTGACCACGAATAATAAAATAGAGACATGTACAGGTACATAATTTGATATTGCATATATATTTATTATTATTATTATTATTAACTGAATTTATTAAATGGGACGGTATGAATTTTATTGTCTCAGTTCTAAAATGTGAACATATCAAGTCAGTTAATAGTTTAATTAGGTTTTTACATTTAAGATGAGTGTCCCCTGCTTTTGCATTCAAGTTTTATGTCTGTTTTCTTATATTATCATGTATAACAGGTTGAGTTTCAGAATAATCATGATCAATGAGGAAATGTTCACCATGTTTTCTATTTAACAAAACAAAATCATCATGTATAATTGAATCATCTTTACTATTTGGTTCTACTAAAAACCAGCCATCTTCTGCAGCACCTATAGCTTCAACCCTAGGAACTAGGTTTATCCAAACGGTGGCCAATTTACTTTCTTTAGTCCTGTCTTTAATTGAGGGTTTAAATGTGTCTGGTATATCTTTTACGTATTCAACCTCACGATGAAGAACACTACCTATGATTGTGACAACAAAATTTGATAATTTTTTATTAAGTTTATTATTCAAATCAGCATTTTCTATTGATCTAAAGAGCCTCTCTGTAATATTATCTGTCATGAGTAAACAATTTCTTCGATATTCTATAGGAACCGAAAAGAGGACTTCTGATGTAAATGTTGATTGCCACATATTACTCTGAAACCAGAGGTCTTGTAAGTATTTTATTAAGTTAGTTTATTATTCAAATCAGCATTTTCTATAGATCTAAAGAGCCTCTCTGTAATATTATGTGTCATGAGTAAACAATTTCTTCGATATTCTATAGGAACCGAAAAGAGGACTTCTGATGTAAATGTTGATTGCCACATATTACTCGGAAACCAGTGGTCTTGTAAGTATTTTATTAAGTTATTTTTAGTTTCCGTATTGAACAGAAGGGTGGGCAGTGACTCACGAATAAATGTAATAAATCGAAGAGCCATGCCCTTTCTCATAGATTCACACGCATAACACATTTAAACCCAGTTTCTAATGGTAAAATAAACATCAATAAAATTTTGTTCGAATGAATTTTCTCTTGAAATGCATTCAAGAGCGTGTCCGCGAGAGCACCGTGCAGGGGGTGATAACCCTTGGGTCAGGGATTTGGACCAAATTTTTTCTGTGAGATGGGTTAGTACCCAGATACATTCCCACAAAATATTAGATTGATTTAGTTGATACTGACCTGGAAAATTGGAAAAGTATTTTTTAATCGAAAAATAAGCCAAAAATAGGCAATTTTGGATCCAAATTTGAATGACCTGCTATTCGGACAATAATTGATTTGGAAAGACAAAATTTTGGGCAGTAGTAGGACCACTCAGGTTCCTCCTTCACACTGAGTTTGAAGTTTCTACTGCTAATTATACCTTGGTACTGGCCGGATACCCAACTCTCTCTGAAAATTGAATTTAATGAAAACCAATGTTTAAGAGGCTATAGCTCGTTCTTTGCAGGGACTAGGACCAAAGTTGAATATTACCCACAACTAGCAACCTTCCTACTAACAAAATAAAAAATAAAAATGACCGGAACAGTCATAATAAAAACAGGAGAAATATATTAAAAACACCAAAAATTAGGATAAAATGTCCCGTCTATCAATACCCCAGATGAAGTATATGTATGGACATCTTTACAAATTTAGATATATTCCATTTAGTCGTTAGCAAGGATGATTTAGACATGAGAGGAACAAAGTAAAATGAGATTTAAAGTCCACTGGACACAAACTAGGTCATTTTGGGACTAGCATATTATGGTGATGCATACTGTATCTATGGACATCATCACAAAGTTAATATATTTGTTAGTAAGGGTGATTTTGACTTAAGAGAGAGAAATGGGGTTTAAGGTCCACTCAACACAAACTAGGTCATTTTGGGACTAACATATGGTACAATTTTACTTCAATAATACACTTGTGGGAAAAGAGAATATCCATGAGGTCGGACAAACAACACCACACCATGTCACCGGCATGCTGTCACACCACTTAACTCAATGACAGACCTTAGGATCTAAAGTCTATGTGTTAGACCAGGGACAAGTTTCATGAATATCCAATGCAATTTAAACAGAACAAATCGTCTTCTATAAATATGATATAATGAAAGGTGAAATATGATACACGATTCAGTGTAAGCATATTTTAGCTCTTGGGTAAAAGAAGTGTTTCGGAGGGATGTACATGTTCGCTCTTGTAACAGGTTTTAAGGACGAGGGGATTGTAGATGATCCAGTGACAGTAAGTCGTAGTCACACAATCAGCAAGACGACTATACAACACCTTTTCTACCAATGTTCCTTGTGCCAAATAGGTTATTTTGGTCAAACATATTTTAGGAATCAGACCAGCTTATTCCTATCTGTATTTAGGAGCCGATCATTGTATAGAAACATTTGGACGTTTTCATGGAGAGGCATTACAGATCGGGAGGCTATGATAATTCCAAATTGAAATCCCTGAAGGAGAAGAGGTCAAAAACAGTACTACAAAATAAAACAGTACTCTGTGGTCCAAAAACCTTGAAGGAAGGTCAGAGAGAATTTACACTCGAACGTAGGAATCTAAGTAAGTGAGCACTTCTGCTCGAACGTAGGTATATGTAGGAGTTAGGCACATGCGGTCAACATTATCCTGGAGTGCCATAAATCCTGTTGTGATCTATGCCATGATTCAGAGATTTCAATACCAGATATTAAATGTCCCTACATGAACACTTCTGAATGTTTCTTCTTATGGTTCTTCTTTACATGAGCAGGTGTTCAAATTAAAAGATATCAAGTTTATAATAGTCATGTCAGTCAAATTTATACGATGATCTGCTCATGAATACAAATCTTAATAACAGTGGTCTGATCCCTGCAAAATTACACACCACTTATGACTCTTCCCTATGGCTATCAAGCAAGCGTGAAAGTCAGATTTTGTTACATAAATATTATGATTTTAAACAAAATGATCTATTTGACACGATTCACGTTGAAATTACGAAATATTACAAGTAATGGTGATGATCAGTAGTCATTTGAAGATAATCGTTGGTCATTGCTGAAAAGGTGCTGCTTTGGTTAAATTGTGCTAATATAAAAGCTTGCTATGCCAATCCTTACATTTATGCACTTCCGTGCTACTAACTACTGAATACAGATGAGAATAATCGTTGCCTGATCCTGCAAAATTATACACCAGTTAAGCCCCTTTACTACGATGACCGCGAACGTCCGATTTTGTCACAAAAACTTAATGATTTTTAACCAAGATAGTATATTTGGCACAAGGAACGTTCAAGTAACAAAAAATAGTACTAATGTTCATAATCAACGGTCATTTGAACTCTTAAAAATAGTAGTCGGTCATCAGTGAAAAGACGAATTTCGTGGAAAATACCGTTTTTACACATTTTCAGAATATTACAGTACTCTAGTGGGTTGCGTTCCGGTCAGTTTTTTTCTTTTGACATTTACTTTGAGAAATGCCCTTCACAACCACACCAAGCAATTCTATGTCAGACCTGCAAAGAAGCAGCTACATGCGTTTTAGGATAGCATAGTTTTAAACATATGTAAAATGACCACTTTATGATCACTCACAGAAAATTCCACACGATTCATTCATTCCCAAACGACTGCAGGATTTTAAGACGACTACTAGGCCTATCATACCTGACCAATATCAAAAATTTAGAGACACAACATTTCGGGTAGGAGCGTTTTGAAATTAGGGTAACAAATTGGTCGAAATATGTCAACTTTTGCCCCAAAACAACAATTTCCAGTTATACCGGAAGTTGTCCGTTTAAATTTTTTTCACTTCATCATGTGACTTCTGTCGCCTAGGGGTCCCCATAGACCAAGTATGGTTGAAATTTGCTGACCCCCCGGGTTATCATTTTTTTCAATTTCTGCATGGTGCTCTCGTGGACACGCTCTTAATGCGTGAAAATTACACAGAGAAGAATTGAAATTTTGGTAAATGGCACAATTTCTAATTTGGTTGGCTTTTTCATGACCTAATATTGGAAAAAAACATTTCACTGCTTTTTGAACATGGTCTTGTATAGTACCACCCTTCATAATCATTATAGATCTGTAACTCTTTAGGGTGATTACAATTTTCTCCACATGGCATATTTACTAGAAGAATCTGCATGTATAAGGTGTGGGTCATCTCAGTCACATTATTGGAGATGGCAAAGGCAGCAACACGCCCTGTGTTGTAGGAATCACAAAAAGTATACATGAATGTTTTGAAACGTACAGACATAAAGTTATGATTAACGTCTAAACCCATAACATGCTTTCCCCATTGGAATAATGTTTGTAGATTCGACTCATTTGAAATTACAATGTGATAGTCCCTATTTCGTTTAGAATAGCCTCTTTGAAAAAATAACACAGATTCAATATTGTTTTCTAAAATTTTTTCAGTACTGCGCCAATCTGAAGTAATTTTGACATCGTCCTCTTTGCCAACTCCAATATGCTGATCGATAGAGTGTTTATCGGATGTCACTATTCGTTTTTGAATTTTTTTCATGACTTTCCTTGGATCTAAATGAAATATTTCAGGAGTACTCAAATTTCCTGTATATATGGGTATCTTTCTTATATGACCTGCCAAAATTTGCTGAGGTGTGGTTTTATATGTGCTTCTAGCTCCATCAACTTTATCCCTGAAACTTAAAGACAGACCCCTTTTATTAATCTGTTGTACCTCACTGGTGTGATAACTTTCAGAAAACTGAAAGATATCCCACTGTGATTGATTCTGTTGTGAATTTACAAACTTTAGGGCAAAATTGCAACCAAAATGAAAATCATGACGCATTATTGATTCTTTATTTTTATTGTCCAAATCATAAAGTTGTTCAGGTCTGTTAGTTTTATTAATTTTGAAATATTTGTGGCATGCACTGCACATGTCTCCATTGGTTTCTTGATTTTTATACCACTCATGGCTATTTTCAACGCAACAATTCGTACAAATCTTTGAAAGCAGTTTAGTATTGCATTTATTACAATGATTAATTGAAGGGGATCTGTCAATTTCCGATAACAAATTGCCGCATCTTGCTTTGCAAAATGAGGTTTTGCCAGAACAACGGATGTAAAATTTTGATAAAACTTGTTGGCTTCCCATATAATGATCTAAAAGTTGGTAACACTCGTCAGGTCTATGTGTTTCACCCCATGCTGGATTAATAGTCAATGACACCTTTGGTGTGTCTTCATCAAAAATTTTTTCAGTACTATTTTTGTTATTTTTATATTCAATTCTAAAATCAAAGTCTAACAAATCCATGTATCGTTTCGTTTCAATACCAGTTTGAACAGATTTGATAAAAGTCCATTTTAAGTTATTTTTCCCTGTTACTTTATTGGTTAGCCAATTTAAACAATTATTTTCATTTATTAAAAAATCATTTATTTTATCATAACTTTGGATTTCAGTGTTGGCGACTTCAAAGAATTTACATTTAGTTGTCTCAGACTTCAACTTACAATCAAGACGGTACTGACATCTTTTTTTCAGAAAAGATACAGATGGATCAGTAGAAAGTAGATTTTTAATACTTGTGGGTAATTCAAATAATCTTTTAATTTTATTTTCCTGAATGCCATCATTTGTCCAAGCCGCACCTTTTGTACTTAATAAAAATGTT